TCTGGCTTGGCTCTGCTTCCCTCGCTTGTTTTTTTTTTTTTCCAGTTGTTATCAATCTGTTCCAGCAAGGCCCGAATTTTCCCTCCTTCTTTTTCTGATGGGTTTTCATCCTGCTGTCTCCATACTGGAAGCTGACCTGCAAAAGCAGGATATGGACTGAGAGGGGTGGGGTGAGGTGGGGGGCAGAAGGCAAAAAAACAACAACAACCCTTTGGCCAGTAAATGAACCCTGAAAAGAATCTGGCAAAAATAGCACATCCCTTTCCTGTGCAGGCGGAGGTGGGGAGAGAAAAATGGGATACTGCAGACCAAAAAAAAAAAGGATATCAGAGGAAAAACAGAAAGAGGCCATGCTGAGAATGACAGAAAGGAGGCAGCTAATAAAATACAGATTTTTCCTTTGTTGTTGTTGTTAGTCGCAAAGTCGTGTCTGACTCATCACGACCCCATGGACAATGTTCCTCCAAGCTTTCCTGTCCTCTACCATCCTCTGGAGTCCACTTAAACTCTCACCCATTGCTTCAGTGACTCCATCCAGCCACCTCCTTCTCTGCCGTCCCCTTCTTCTTCTTTTGCCCTCCATCGTTCCCAGCATTCGGCTCTTCTCCAGGGAGTCCTTCCTTCTCATTAGGCGGCCAAAGGATTTGAGTTCCATCTTCAGGATCTGGCCTTCTAAGAGCAGTCAGGGTTGATCTCCTCTAGGACTGACCGGTTGGATGGCCTTGCAGTCCAAGGGACTCGCAGGAGTCTTCTCCAGCACCAGAGTTCAAAGGCCTCCATTCTTTGGCCTCGGCCTTCCTTATGGTCCAACTTTCACAGCCATCCATTGCAACTGGGAAAACCGTCGCCTTGGCTATACGCTCTTTTGTTGGCTGGGTGATGTCTCTGCTTTTTAGTAGGCTGTCTAGCTTTGCAATGGCTTTCCTCCCCAGGAGCAAGCATCTTTTAATTTCTTGGCTACAGTCCCCATCTGCGGTGATCTTGGAGCCCAGGAAAATAAAATCTGTCACGGCCTCCATTTCTTCCCCATTTATTTGCCAGAGGGCCAGATGCCATGATCTCAGTTTTCTTAATGTTGAGTTTCAAGCCAACTTTTGCCCTCTCCTTCTTCAGGAGATTTCTCCTTAGTTCCAGGTTGCTTCTCTCCTTGATTAGTTTCCACCCATTGCATCTTGTCCTGCCTTCTGGTGCTTTGGAGAATAGCTGGACTCCCTCTCTTCTTTGTGGCAGCCCCTGAGATATTGGAAGACTGCTGTCATGTTACCCCTGACTACCTGTCAAGTTTCATTCCACCTGTGATGACCTGCAGAAAAGAACACCCAGGTCTCTTTTAGGAAAGCACGGATTCACCTGTCCACGCTCCTCTCTCCCCAAAAGACCATCTTATCCTGCACGTCGTGGAGCCAACCGAACACATCACTTTGAATTCTGCTATCAGCCATGAATGACTGGTGCAGCGCGACAGGCGGCCCAGCCTCAAACGACAGGGGCACTGATGCGGAGCGACATCGCCACGAACCCCTGACGGGTCAGGACCTCTGCGTCCTCTGCCAAAATCCCTCGCGGGGCATCCGGCCCTGCAAATCCTCCTTCCGAAATAATCTCCCTTCATTTGCAGCAACGAGCCTCTGTTTTGGATGGAGGAAGCGGAGTTCATGGACGTTCGGGAGATCAGGGCCTGCATGTGAGCGCCAGATTTTTATAACACACACAAAGACACACACACACACAAACAAACATACATACACACAAGCATTTTGTGGCCCACTGGTTCCCCTGTGTCTAGGACACACTCAAGGAGTACCAGGCTAACGAAACGAGAAACCACATGCTGTGCTTTCTGGTTAGAGAGGAACAGAACCAGCCGCAAATTGAACAAAGCAGCACATAATCCGGCCGGCTGTTTTAAGCAGTCATTATCATATATTAATATATATATGAAGTGTTTTTCTATCGAGGCACCTGGTCTAGCCCAACATGTGGGAGGGAGCATACTGCATCCCTTTCGCCTTTCAGCTACAATCCAGGAGCCCTCAAGCAGTCGCATTCATGCCTTTATTTCTTCATCAACGAAATATATTTTTATATAGATCTATTTCTGGCTCGTTAGACTTCATCAGTAAGCCACACCCACATCTCATATATCCTCCCTGTAAAGGTACAGTATCTATTTTCTTACTTCTTCGTAGGATTAGATCTATATAAGTCTCTCACCTAGCAGCAAGAACTTGCTGGCTGCCAGAAAGGAAAAAAGCCCAGAATTGAGTGGATGTGATTCTACTGAGCTGGGGCTGCAGAAAAACCTGGTTACGTAGGAAAAACCTGGCTAGAGGAAAAACAAACATAAATCCTACGAAAAAGAAGGAAGAAAAGAAAATAGATACTGTACCTTTACAGGGAGGATATATGAGATGTGGGTGTGGCTTACTGATGAAGGCTAACAAGCCAGAAATAGATCTATATAAGTCTCTCACCTAGCAGCAAGAACTTGCTGGCTGCCAGAAAGGAAAAAAGCCCAGAATTGAGTGGATGTGATTCTACTGAGCTAGGGCTGCAGAAAAACCTTGGTTACGTAGGAAAAACCTGGCTAGAGAAAAAAAAACACACACACACACATATTTGTTTATGTAAGTTAATATATATATATATATATATTAAAAGAAGCAGACATACTGCGAACTCCAGAACTTAAGATTTTAAAATTTTAAAAGAATTAAAATTTTATTTTACTAAGCTTTCGTCAGCCATCTGCTGGCATCGTGGGAGTCAAGCCTCCATCATCCAGCATGACAACAGCAAAAACGACACAGCTGATTACAAGTGGGAGACGGCTGGAAGGCCCTATGACACCCGCAAGGGCCAAATTGATTAATGGCATATAAAGGCAGGGATCTCTATAATGGTAGTTTAATACTTTGACGATGTCAGCAGATGGCTGACGAAAGCTTAGTAAAATAAAATTTTAATTCTTTTAAAATTTTAAAATCTCGATTCTGATTCTCGGGTTATATAGGAGCTGGGACAGATGGTATGCTTGGCTGAAAAAAAAAAAGAAATCTTAAGAAGAATGAAAATATTAACCTTAATGTGAACGTGGGTAAATATTTATAGGAGCACTGCATGACAGTTGAGAATTTTTTTCTTCTGGATAAACTTTTCTTTCTTTTGATGAGTTGGCTTAACGGAGGTTTGTACTTTCTCTAGGCGAAAATTGATACTTTAAAACTCTATACTATTTATATTACTCTCTGCATTATATTTAACCATATTTTAAATTTTTTTTCTTTTAAAATCTTTTTAATAATTTTCAATAAAAAATTTTTACTAATAAATAAAGTAAAATAAATTTTTAATAATCTTAAGTTCCGGAGTTCGCAGTATGTCTGCTTCTTTTTTTACTTATATATGGAACTCGTATCTTTAGAATAGTTTGTAATATATATATATATATATATATATATATATCAGGATAACAGGGTTGGAAGGGACATTAGAGGTCTTCTAGTCCAGCCTCCTGCTCAGTCAGGAGAGCCTAGAATCGCGATAGCGAACCTATGGCACGGGTGCCAGAGGTGGCACACAGAGCTCTCTCTGTGGGCATGTGCACCATCGCCAGATGCTCTTCTGGATTCTGGCCTGGCGCACGCGAAGACCAGCTAGCAGAAGACCAAGTGGCTGGCACACGCATGCCCGCCGGCCAGCTCGTCTCTGAGTTTCCGGGGCTTTGTTTTATTATATTTATAAGCCGCCCACTCTACTACAAGAAATCCTAGCGGGGGATGTTTTACATTCATCATGTAATCTCTACATCTCTACATGGGGCTCCCCTTGAGGAGCACCGGAGGCTCCAACTGGCGCAGATGCGGCCGCGCGGGTGGTAATGGGAGCGACATGGCGTTCCCATGTAACACCCCTCCTGCGCGAGCTGCACTGGCTCCCGGTGGTCTTCTGGGTGCGCTTCAAGGTTTTGGTTACCACCTTTAAAGCACTCCATGACTCAGGACCTGGTTATCTACGGGACCGCCTGTTACCACCAATAGCCTCCCACCGGCTGGTACGCTCTCATAGAGAGGGACTCCTCCGGGTGCCGTCAGCCAAACAATGGCCGACTGGCGGCCCCCAGGGGGAGAGCCTTCTCTGTGGGGGCACCTGCTATCTGGAACGAGCTCCCCCCGGAGATACAGAGGATCCCGGATCTGCGCACCTTCCGCCGCGCTCTAAAGACCTTTTTATTTCACCAGGCGGGCCTGGCCTAATTTTCTCCCTCTTTTATAAAAGATTTTTAATTTTTAATATTTTTTTAGTATTTTATATATTCAAATTTTAAAATTGGTTTTAAATTGATTGGGGTTTTAATTTGTCTGGGCCAAAACTATTTAATTTGATTTTAATTTCCACTTTTTAAATTTTGTATGTATGTATTTTATTGTTTGGCTGTGCACCGCCCTGAGTCCTTCGGGAGTAGGGCGGTATAGAAATCAAATTAAATAAATAAATAAATAAATAAATAAATAAAACATGGATCGGGGTGAAATCTACTTACCTTCCCCACCGGTTTGGAAGTGCATTCACCGCGGACCCTCTGCGCATACGTAAACCCTTCTGTGCATGCACAGAGGGTACAAGAATCGGTTACTTCCTGGTTAAAACCAGGAAGTAATGAAGACCGGGTGGGTGGGCGGAGCTTCGTGCTGCCATCGCTACCGGTTCGTCAGAACTGGTCCAAACTGGTCCAAGCATTTTACCCCTGTCCTAGATGCTCAACTGTTGATTTATACCCTGCCTAAAGAAACCTGTCTCATCTTCAAAGGAAGCTGCTTCCCTTGATCAAACCGTTGGTCCGACCCACTCAGTACTGCTGGTTCTGACTGGCAATGAGATTGAACGAGGACGTGTTTTGGATCCAGAGTTCCTCCCCGTAGTATAAATAGTACTCACGTAGTATAAATAGCAGACCAATGAGTCACAGAAGATCAACAATGAATCAACCGAAGTGTTACCTTTCAACCCGGTGTCCCGATCGAAACAAAGGGCAGGAATCAAGTGGGGAGAGTCAGATTACAAGATCCATGGGAGGAACATGGGACTGTGACCACGGATAAACCATCCAGACCTCTCCATTGCACTAGAAGGGGTATTTGTTTTTTTCCAAGTTGTCTCCTGTTTATTTCCACCTGTCATGTAAGGCCACGCTTGGAGTCCTGCATTCAGTTTGGTCGCCATGATGTAAAAAAGACGTGGAGACTCTAGAAAGAGTGCAGAGAAGAGCCAACAAGATGATTAGGGGACTGGAGGCTAAAACATATGAAGAACGGTTGCAGGAACTGGGTATGTCTAGTCTGATGAAAAGAAGGACCAGGGGAGACATGATACTCCAATATCTCAGGGGCTGCCCCAAAGAAGAGGGAGTCAAGCTATTCTCCAAAGCACCTGAAGGCCTGCAGGACAAGAAGCAACGGGTGGACATTAACCAAGGAGAGAAGCTACCTAGAACTAAGGAGAAATTTCCTGACAGTGAGAACAATTAACCCGTGGAACAACTTGCCACCAGAAGTTGTGAATGCTCCAACACTGGAAGTTTTTAAGAAGATGTTGGACAACCATTTGTCTGAAGTGGTGTAGGGTTTCCTGCCCAAGCAGGGGGTTGGACTAGAAGACCTCCAAAGTCCCTTCCAACTCTATTATTATATATAAATCAGTCCCAGGGAATAGGAATGGAATAGAAATAGGACTATAGAGTAGAGTAGAGTAGAGTAGAGTAGAGTAGAGTAGAGTAGAGTAGAGTATTATTTTATTTATTTATTATTTATTGAATTTCTATACCGCCCTACTCCCGAAGGACTCAGGGCGGTGCACAGCCATGAAATAAAACACATAGATATACAAAATTTAAAATCGAATAAAATGAATTAAATAAATTTGGCTGAATTAATACCCAATTTAAAATACCCATATTTTAAAATCCATTAAAATTTAGAATTTACACTTAAAAGGGAGAAGATTTAGGCGAGGCCAGCTTGATGAAACAAAAGCGTCTTCAACTCGCGGCGGAAGGTGCGCAGATCCGGAATCCTCCGTATCTCTGGGGGGAGCTCATTCCAGATCGTCGGTGCCCCCACAGAGAAGGCTCTCCCCCTAGGGGCCGACAGCCGACATTGTTTGGCCGACGGCACCTGGAGGAGCCCCTCTCTGTGGGAGCGTACTGGTCGGTGGGAGGCTGTTAATGGTAGTAGGCGGTCCCGTAAGTAACCAGGTCCCAAGCCATGGAGCGCTTTAAAGGTGGTAACCAGAACCTTGAAGCGCACCCGGAAGACCACCGGGAGCCAGTGCAGCTCGCGCAGGAGAGGTGTTACATGGGAGCTCCATGTTGCTCCCATAACCACCCGCGCGGCCGCACTCTGCGCCAGTTGGAGCCTCCGGGTGCACCTCAAGGGGAGCCCCATGTAGAGAGCATTACAATAGTCCAGACGAGAGGTGACGAGGGCATGAGTGACTGTGCGCAAGAGTAGAATGAATAAGGATTAGGATTAGGATTAGGATTAGGAATTAGGAATAGGACTATAGAGTAGAGTAGAGTAGAGTAGAGTAGAGTAGAGTAGAGTAGAGTAGAGTAGAATAGAATAGAATAGAATAGAATAGAATAGAATAGAATAGAATAGAATAGAATAGCTTGGGAAAATTTTTATAAATGGTTAGAAAAGAGGCAACTATAACCCACATTAGATGAGGAATGGTATCTATTGAGAAACTTATACTATATAAGATAAGTGAGGTCGGATAGACCTAATTGATGTATTAAGGTATATAAGCTGTTCTGTCTTCTCCAGATTATAATAGTGTTATAGTACCGAATATTTGTTTATTAAGGTACTACATAGAAGTATGCTTGTTTATTGTTGTATTGTTCTTTGTGTGTCATTTTACGTTGTGTTGTCTTTTCTTTTTAACCAAAAATATAAATAAAGATTATTTTTAAAAAAAGAATAGAATAAGTTGATTTAATCATGTTCTGTTAGGTATGCTCCTGTTGGCTGGGATCACAGAAGGCCCTCAGTTCCTGTGCCAGAGGGATGGATGCCTGCCAGGGGAATGCTGTGTGGGTATGGCTAAAGACAGAGGATGGGCTCTGAGAGCCAATGGGATGAAGTACTAAAGGTACAATTGAGGTAGAGGGCATGTCTAAAAATAAAACTGTCCTTCAAGTCCAGCTTGACTCCTCACTTTAAGGGCATATCACCTTGATAATTTGTGTGTGTGGTTTTTTTTCCCCCCTTCCCAAACTAGTCTACGGATGTCTTGGGGCTTCCATCGGAGAACAATATCCAAGCCTAACTCAATTTGACTTGCTAAAATCAATCAATCAACCTCAACTCAGGTTACCCCCTATCGCCAGTCAGAAACTGGAGTTTCAAACCTCATTTTCCCTTTCCCCCCCCCCTCCCCTTGGCATTTGATGTCTACTTGCGTCTGATCTACTTTTCGGGGTTGTGGAGATGACGACGATGGCGGACCAGGCCTGGCCCTCGGCAGAAATGACTACGGGAAAAGCTTTTCTCGAAGCAAATCCCAGAACCCACGTTCTCTCCTCCGCTTTCGTGCCCCACCAGTCACAACATGCCACAGCGCTGGGGTTTTTGTGACGTTTGCAAAATTATTTTGAGTAAGCAGGCAATGGGAAGCTGAATCACCCCAGATAGGGTTACTCAAAATTCATCACGCAGCAGCAGCAGCCACCGCCAGATGTAACTCCTTCGATAAACATTACCTCTCTCGCAGCTCAACTGATATCATAATAACCACACCGAAGGAGGCCAAGGAGGAATTTGATCTGTTGTGTTGTTACCCAGTAGGGTGATTTGATCTTCAAGCTATGCGTGCTCAAGAGAAGCTTGAAAGATTTTTTTAAGCCCTTGGACCAAGGGTGAAATCCAGCAGGTTCTGATAGGTTCTGGCGAACCGGTAGCGGAAATTTTGAGTAGTTCGGAGAACCGGCAAATACCACCTCTGGCTGGCCCCAGAGCGGGGTGGGAATGGAGATTTTGCAATATCCTTCTCCAGGAGTAGGGAGGGAATGGAGATTTTGCAGTACTCTTCCCCTGGAGTAGGGAGGGAATGGGGATTTTGCAGTATCCTTCCCCTGGAGTGGGGAGGGAATGGAGATTTTGCAGTATCCTTCCCCTGGAGTGGGGTGGGAATGGAGATTTTGCAGTATCCTTCCCCTGGAGTGGGGGTGGGAATCGAGATTTTGCAATATCCTTCCTGCAGGAGTGGGGAGGGAATGGGGATTTTGCAGTATCCTTCCCCTGGAGTGGGGTGGGAATGGAGATTTTGCAGTATCCTCCCCTGGAGTGGGGGTGGGAATCGAGATTTTGCAATATCCTTCCTGCAGGAGTGGGGGAGGGAATGGGGATTTTGCAACATCCTTCCCCCAGGAGTGGGGTGGGAATGGAGATTTTGCAATATCCTTCCCCGGAGGGTGGGGAGGGAATGGGGATTTTGCAGTATCCTTTCCCTGTGACACCCACCAAGCCACGCCCACAGAACCGGCAGTAAAAAGAAATTGGATTTCACCACTGCCTTGGACGTCTGCACTGTAGTTGTTCCCCCCCCCCCCCCCCCCCGGGTCTCTGCAGCTGTGCTTCGCAACAGTACGCAACTTGGCAGAACGGGTCTGGTGTTGGCGATCCAACGAGACTGAGGCTACGGGCTGCGTTACAGATGGCATCCCCGGCGTGCCAGTTTATCCGCAAACCGAGCGCAGCTATTGTGCAAAAAGCAAACGGGTTTTGAGTTTTCGCATGGCCCAAGTTCGCCACCGCAGCGGTCTGTAAAAAAAAAAAGTATGTTTAAAAAAAAAAAAGCCAACTCTCTCCCAGCCAGATGTGGTTTTCTCCACCTCTTGAAAGAGGGAAAAGCAAGAGCTTTTTTAGATCCACTGCAAAAACGTAGCAGGAAAGAATAATGTTCGGATTGGGAGCAAACGTCTCCGTTCTGTTTTTTTCAACTTTCCGCACTGGGAAATTTGTCACTAGGTATGACCAAAAGAGGTTGGAAATTTGGAAACCGACGGTTGCGTCTGTACAAACTCACCGTGACTCTATTTTTGTGCGTGGGCGTAGTGTGAGGTGTAATTTCTTTGAGGGAATTGAGCTGATCTTTGGGGTTGATTAAAAATAACACTTTTAAAATTACATTCCCAAAAAAAAAGCAGAAGCTTTTGGTAAAACTGTACTGTCTGGGCCCTTGTGCAAAAAAAAACAAAAAAACCCTGAAGATAAATTTTAAGGATGACGTCTGCGCGTGGAAGAAATGATTCTTTCCTCCCACCCTTGGCTGGGATAGTCGTGCAAATAACAGTCGAGTGCAAAAAGCGTTGGTGCTTTTTAGAAAAGGAGCGGGTGTGAAGGGGGCCATCTTTTCAGACGGCTTGGAGGAAGTACGCCTGGCCGCCAGTAAAATTGGTCTGCATTGGATTTTTCCGATGAACCCAGCCGTGTATCCGCTGCAAGAACACCACGCTGCAGAGACGAAAAAGGGCCTCACCTCGAAAATGAAAATATAGGCAGTCCTCAACTTACAACGGTTTGTTTAAGCGACCGTTCAAAAGCTACAACGGCACTGAAAAAAGTGACTTAGGACCGTTTTTCACACAATTATTGCAGGATCCCTGCTTGGCAACAGACTCGTATTTATGACAGCCGCAGTGTCCCTGGGGCGGGGGTGGGGGTGTCACGGAATCCCCCCCTTTTGCGACCTTCTGACGAGCAAAGGGGAAGCCAGATTCACTTCACAACTGTGTGACTAACTTAATGACTGCGCTGACTGGCTTAACCACGAGAGAGCTAGAGAGGGTCTTAAAGCGAGGATGAGCTCACTTAACAATTGTTATCGAGGAGCAATGGACGTTTCGGGCTCAATTGTGGTCGTAAGTCGAGGACTCCCTTTACAGGAGAATTGGTGTGGGGGAAGAATGACCTGTTTTCCCCCAAAATAAGACATCCCCTGATAATAAGCCCAATCGGGCTTTTGAGCACATGGCAATAAGGCCAAGCGCTTATTTCAGGGTTCAAAAAAATATAAGACAGGGTCTTATTATCGGGGAAACATGGTATCTATTATAATCTATCTATCTATCTATCTATCTATCTATCTATCTATCTATCTATCTATTTATCATCTATCTACCTCTCTATCCTGTTTCTCCAAAATAAGACATCCTCTGATAATAAGCCCAATCGGGCTTTTGAGTGCATGGCAATAAGGCCAAGCATTTATTTCAGGGTTCAAAAAAATATAAGACAGGGTCTTATTTTTGGGGAAACATGGTATCTATCTATCTATCTGTCTGTCTGTCTGTCTGTCTGTCTGTCTGTCTGTCTGTCTGTCTGTCTGTCCTGTTTTCCCCAAAATAAGACATCCCCTGATAATAAACCCAATCGGGCTTTTGAGTGCATGGCAATAAGGCCAAGCATTTATTTCAGGGTTCAAAAAAATATAAGACAGGGTCTTATTTTGGGGGAAACACGGTATCTATCATATCTATCATATCTATCTATCTTATCTACTGTCTCTCTATCTTCTATCTATCTATATCATTATCTATCTATATCATTATCTATCTATCTATCTACTCTGTTTCCCCCAAAGTAAGACATCCCAGATCAAAAACCCAATCGGGCTTTTGATTGGGCTTAGGCCAAGCGCTTATTTCAGGGTTCAAAAAAATATAAGACAGGGTCTTATTTTCGGGAAGCACGGGAATAAATACACAATCCTGGCTTTGACTGGATCGATAAATCTCTTATTATAAGTACTGATTCGCCCGGGTTTTTTTCCCCCTCGACACACTCCTTTGCACCCGGGTATTAGCTGCATCACGAGAAATTCATACACCTGAACCCTTTCCAGCCCAGGGTCTCCGGGCCAGGAAAAACTTTCGCTTGCTGAATACCAGTGGCTTGTTGAAGTTTCTAAAAAACCCAGGAGCTTTTCTTGAGGAGGAGGGGGGGGGAGTGGAAGGAGAAGTTGGCAACTTCCAAGCATTCAACTTCCAAGCGTTGATTGGAAGCTTTTTTTTTAAAAAAGCCTCATTGGAATCAGAGGGAGTCACCTCCGAGAAGAAAAAATAAATACAGGTTGTGTGTGTGTGTGTGAGAGAGAGAGAGACACGTTCCAAGCAAAACGGATTTACTATGTGTTTAAAAAAAATAAAATTCCAACAGAAAAACGGCACCGTCTCTGCATAATTTAATAGACCGCGCAATCTAAACAAAACTCCCTATTAAATCACTATATATATATATACATATAATCAAAACTTTTGCAGTTGCCAATTTTCGATCCAGCAGGCAGATTCCCCCCCCCTCCACCTATTCAGAGAAGGTCGCCCTCTTCTGCTCAGTTCTGCCCACCAACTGACGCCCGAGCCAGCCAGCTGCCAACTTCTCCAGAGGACAGACAGGGAGGTAAATTGGAAAAAAAAGCTGGCAAACTCCCTTTCTACCGAATTCCGCCCTCCCCACGGAAAGCCATCGGAGGAGAGAGCGTGGCGGTTAAGGGGAGGGGAAAGGGCTGTGCGCTCCAGCCACTCCTGTCAAAAAGGATTCATGACTTGGAGGAGAGAGAGAGAGAGAGAGAAAGAGAGAGAGAGAGAAAGAAAGAGAGAGAGAGAGAGAGATTACAAAAAAAAAAGGAGAGGAGAGGAAAGGAAAGGGACAGAAAGTAACTTGCAGAGATTTCGCAACCCTTCGGGGAGGGGAAAATATGTATATGTTTTGAAGCTGGGGAGGGTGTCTGTCCCAGTCAAGGCCAGGGTAGGATAAAAGCACCGACTGGCTCTGGAGCTGCGAGACATCAGAATATGCCTGAGTCGGGACACACGCTTGGCCTCCTCCTCACCAATGTCAAGGCGTTGGGTTTAAGGTAGCCGCTGCCCCATCCATCCGAAATCCGGAGAGGACTTTGCTATGAGTTCCACGGTTGCCTGGCTTCTGATTCTCTGCCTGCTGGATGATGTCCTGGCCCAGAGTCCTCCGAGAGGTGAGCGGCTTCGAAGGGTTTTGGATTTATTTTTTATTTTTTTTGGAGATCCAGGTGTTTGAATCTGGATTTGAGATCTTCTTCCCAAGGAGGGTTCCCAAGCTTTGGTTCGGGGTTATGGAAAGAACGGGTGTCCCCGGAATTGCCGCAGGGAGGTTCTGGAGTAACCTTGCCCGAAGCTCAGCTGCCTGGGGATGACGGGAGGCTACAATCCTTGGGAAGATCCTGGGTTTTGGATTTTTGGATTTTGGAGATCGGGGTTTGAATCTGGATTTTGAATTGAGATTTTGGAGATTGGGGTTTGAGTTTTGAATGTAGATTTTGGAGATCGGGGTTTGGATTTTTGGATTTTGAGTTCAGATTTTGGAGATCAGAGTTTGAATTTGGATTTCGGATTTAGATTTTGGAGATCGGGGTTTGAATCTGGATCTGGGATCTTCCCAAGGAGGGCTCCCAAGCTTTGGTTCGGGGTTATGGAAAGAACGGCTCTCCCCGGAATTACCGCAGGGAGGTTCTGGAGTAACCTTTCCCGAAGCTGCCTGGGGATGATGGGAGGCTACAATCCTTGGGAAGATCCTGGGTTTGGGATTTTTGGATTTAGATTTTGGAGATCGGGGTTTGAATTTTTGGATTTTGAATTTAGATTTTGGAGATCGGGGTTTGATTTTGGATTTTGGATTTAGATTTTGGAGATCGGGGTTTGAATCTGGATCTGGGATCTTCCCAAGGACGGTTCCCAAGCTTTGGTTCGGGGTTACGAAAGAACGCCTCTGCCCAGAATTATGTAGGCAGGTCGTGGAGTAACCTTTCTCAAAATCCAGCTCCCTGGGGATGATGGGAGGCTACGATCCTGGGAAGATCCTGGGTTTTGAATTTGGATTTCGAAGAGGAGGTCTCGCGGATGCCAGAGCTGGCAGACCTGGGTGGATGTGAAGGCAACGGGATCTTACTAGGTCGAGGGATGCAGCCTGAATGACGCTTCCTGGGTTTTAGGAAAGGAAGGTGGAGATTTTGCCCTGATTGAAAAATTGTTTTGCTGTTTCTTAGCTGCTTCGGGGTGGGGTGGGGGGAACAAATGCAAAACTGGAGGTTTTTTAAAAAATCTTTGTAAGGGGCAGTTAAAGCCAGGCGAGGGTCTCTGCCCCGAAACTGAAGCCCTCGCCAAGCCCCAACAAATTGGATTGCTGGGAAGACTCTGTAGGGCTGCTCTTTATTCTATAGGTTTTATTTTGGATGGATTTTGTCTGAAGGTAGTTGGCGAGACGTCAAAGGAAGGAAGGAAGACAGAATTTGGTCTGGAGAAGGCCGGCTTCGGTTTAGCTAGGAAAGCGTGCCTCTGCCCAGAATTATGCAGGAGGCTCGCGGAGCTGCCTTTCTCGAGGTCCGGCTTGCCTGGGGGAATCGATGGGACGCTAACACAACCCAAGCCAGCTCAATGGCATCTGACAGGGGAAACTGAGGACCACGGAGACTGAATGATGCGGCCGCTTCGATGCAGACGTGGATCCATTCATCCACCTGTCCAACTTCGTCTGGGGCTGCGGTCGTTGACGGCGCTTGGAGATCTCGAACGATGAAGGAAGCTTGCCGGAGTGACAGGAAATCCTATTTATTTGGAAGTGGCTGGGAAGAGCTTCTGTGCGCACAGCAGCTGCCCTGTCACCGAGCCACGTTAGGGGTAGGGTGAGACCGTGGCATCCCTTTAAGTCGGAGATTGTCTGCTCTGCCTGAAATCTCCGTCTGAGGTCTCTCGGCCTTCTTAATTCTGGTTGTTGAATTTAGAGCTTCGGGCAGGCAAGGCAGAGGCCGGGCTGGAAAAATGGACAATATTCTTTCTCGGTTCTCCAAATCAAGGTTGAATAGGTGGTCACTCTGAAGGTGATGTTTTCTGGAGAGTTCTCTGTCCCAAAGCCAAAAGGTGTGGTCCTGGTGCAGCAGGGATCAACTTTGGCCAAATCTGCTTCTTAATCTATATGTCGGCGCTTAATTCCAATTTTCCAAGTAACTTTGGTGCAAAATGAACCTTCTTATTTTCTTTCTTTCTTTCTTTTTCTTTCTTTCCTTCCTTCCTTCTTTCCTTCTTTTGCTCCTTCTTTCTTCTGTTCTTTCTTTCTTTCTTTCTTTCCTCTTTCTCCTTCCCCTTTCCTTTCCTTTCCTTTCCTTTCCTTTCCCTTCCCTTCCCTTCCCTCCCTTCCCTTCCCTTCCCTTCCTTTAGTGCAAAGAAGAGCAACCAGGATGATTAGGGGACTGGAGACTAAAACATATGAAGAACGGTTATAGGAACCAGACATGGCTAGTCTAGTGAAGAGAAGGACCAGGGGAGACATGATAGCAGTCTTCCAATATCTGAGGGGATGCCACAGAGAGGAAGGGGGTCAAGCTATTCTCAAAGGCACCCGAAGGCCAGACAAGGAATAATGGATGGAAACTGAACACAAGAGAGATTCAACCTGGAAATGAGGAGAAATTTTCTGACAGGGAGAACAACCAACCCATGGAACAGAAGTTGCCTTCAGAAGTTGTGGGAGCTTCATCCCTGGAGGCTTTCAAGACGAGATTGGACTGCCATTGGTCAGAAATGGTGTAGGGTCTCCTGTTTGGGCAGGGGGTTGGACTAGATGACCTACAAGGTCCCTTCCAACTCTATTAATCTATAACTTTCCTCTCCTCTCCTCTCCCTTCCCCTCCATCCTTGCTTCAGATGCTGTTCCTCCTACACTCATAGCCCACAGCGGAGTCAAAATGCATTTCTTACACCTCATTTCCCACTGGCTTCCCCAGTGTTGGCTGGGGAAGATGGGAGAGGTTATGACAGCCAGGAACTAGGTCTCTTTGCAACAAGCTTCCGAGAGAAATTAGAAAAAGTTTCCAGGGAAGGTAAAGCACCATCCATTCTCCGTAGCCTTCATCCTTCTTTTAAGCACCTGCCCTTCCTCTCAAGCTTCGCAACCCAACAACCATCTTCAGCTCTGTGCGAAGAGCTATCCCACGCTTGGTTGGCTGGTGAAGGGGGGAGGTCAAAGTATTCCTTTCGCTGTTTACCCAGACAGGGAGGGTCTTAAGCCAACAAGACAGGCGATCTTGACTGTAGCTGTGGGGAAGAACGTTGTGAGATAAAGGGCAATTTCGTAGTAGGTGTGCCTATCAGGAATGGGGTGGGTTTTCCTTCGCTGTACCAGCAAGGGAACCGACGGCATAAATTTTACAGTCTCAACCAACTGGGACATCTGGGCAAAGGGGGAAAAAATGTCCCTGTTCCTTCTTCCAATTTCCTCTATATTACATTTTTCCTCGAGGATGGAAAGGGGAAAGGAAGAGAGAGAGAGAGGGAAATATATATGCAGAGGACCTCTGCCAGGTCTGTTCAGTAGATTGTGACAAGGATGCTTAAAATTAACCTGGTTTTATATATATATATATGCAGGAAAGCTGATTCCCAGTTTAAGCAACAAGGCGGTGTTGTTTTTTTAAATTACCTCCAGCTTTTTTCTGCGAGTAGCTCAGCCGCACCTTTTCCCAGGTATGCTTGACTGTGATTCAGCCTTCTTTCCGAAGGCATAGTCACCCTGGACATAACTGGACAATAACCGGGACAGGAATAAATCCTTGCTTGGTTTCATCAAGAGATTTTAACTTGGAAAAGCTCCAGAAATGATTTGTGTAAAATCGAAGGAAAAGATGGATATCCCTACAGGCTTAAGAGCTCAGAGACATGAGGCAAACGCAAAAGAGAGATGAGAACGGAAGATTTAAAAAAACGCAAAACACAGCTCCAAGTTCATAACCTTGGAACAGATTTCTGATATGATCTAGCACATATCCACGCGGAACTAACCAAGCCCACCTACCTTCAGAATGGCAGTCCTAGTTTTTAAAGCATTTTGTCCTAGATAAGATTGTCGACAACATGCTAAAGGTAAAAGGGAAAGGTTCCCCTTGCACATATGTGCTACTCGTTCCGGGCTCTAGGGGGCGGTGCTCATCCCCGTTTCAAAGCCGAAGAGCCAGCGCTGTCTGAAGACGTCTCCGTGGTCATGTGGCCGGCATGACTCAACGCCAAAGGCGCACGGAACGCTGTTCCCTTCCCACCAAAGGGGGTCCCTCTTTTTTCTACTTGCATTTTTTTTACGTGCTTTCGAACTGCTAGGTTGGCAGAAGCCGGGACAAGTCACGGGAGCTCACCCCGTTACGCAGCCCCAGGGATTCGAACCGCTGACCTGCGGCCCTTTCGATCGACAAGCTCAGCGTCTTAGCCACTGAGCCGCCGCATCCCTTACAACATGCTACGGATGACCAATTGCCATTGGTCCAATTGGTAACTTTCAACGTATCACAGAACCATCTAACAAGCTGCGACCGATCCGGATTGAAAGGCCGGCTAGTCCATACTTTGTAATTGCGTGTACAAAGAAGGCGCTGTTTTGAGAACTGGGAGTCACTCTTCCTCCGAGCTGCATGACGCCAATCCCAAATTTATTTTTGGTTCTTTTTTTTTTCCCGCCCCGCGGGGAATTGGCACTTTTGAGAAAACTGCAGTAAACTGATGTATAAATAAGTTGGGGGTTGGTTTTTTTTTTTAAATCCCAGCAGGTTAGAGTGACATGGCATCCCAGTTTCTGGCACCGGGACAGGATTTCTCCCGCTGGGTCTCTAGCGCCCACACGCATTGCGTCACAACTGGCCACCCACTTGTAAGGCCTGATGGAAATGCAAAACGTTTTGCTGACATAGCAGGACTGTTCTGTTTTGCTGGGGGGGTGGGAAAAACCATAGAGAACAGTTCCGAAAGGTCACATGGGGGGAGGGGGAGAGGAAGTTGTGTTGTTTTGCAACTAAAGTCACACCCACAGCAATCTAAAAGGGGAGCCACATCAACTCGAGGCCCCAAATTATCTCTCGGTTCCACTCTTGAATGGTGGACCCTATGTAAATAGAGATAGACCTCGACTTACAACAGTTCATTTAGGTAGTTCGAAGTTACAACGGCACTGGAAAAAAGT